GCCCCGCCCGAGCCGGCTCGCTGCAGGGGACAGTGGGCTGGCTGCGCGCCCCGCCCGTTTCTCCCGCAGCGGGCGAGGCGGGCTGGCGAGAGGCGCCGCAGACCTCTCTGCAGGCGCGGGAGAGGGATGCTAACTCGGGGGGCCCACCAGCATGAGGGGGCAGTAGAGACGTTCTCTACCTGGCAGGACTAGCACTGCCCCAAATCAGGTTGATCGGGACCTCATGGATGCAGTTTGTGGGTTCTCCAGTACCGGTGCCCCAGGGCGAGTAAGCACACGAGCAGCCGGCGAAAAGCGCCACGCCTGCCTCCCTGCTCCCGGGAGAGCCTGCAGCGCGCTGGGAGGGCGGAGCCTGTGCCTCGACCCCGACATTTACAGACTCGTGTTTTAAACACTCGTAACCAATTTGGCAAGTCATTTAAGAAATATCTTTGTTTTTATATAGTTCTACTGAATGGTATAAGTGAAAAACAAGTTTAATTCATCCTAAGAAAATATATAAACCACTGGAATGGAAAGTTCACATTATGCTATGCTGTTAATTCTGTTTCATTATTACGTAGAATAATAGCTTTAGAAATATCTTGAAGGCATTGTATTCCCACTTGTGGTTCAAACTGAATTTGTTTTAAATTTAGAATCAATAAAAGTTTCAAAAATGTATAAGCTTCCTCAGTGCCATAACTTTAATGACTTTTTAATGAAAATATCTTTCATAAACATCCCACTTCTATGAAGATGTGTATATTACATGTCTATATCACATAATTACTTGATTTATACAGACAGCACAAAAAGTACTATTAGTAACAATAATTTACTCATAGTCCTACCACCTTTTTTATTTTGCTCAATTTAACTGGTTGAGTTTCTTGCTTAGAAATCATTGTGTATATAATTTTTAACTTTATGTTAAATGTCTTTATCTTCTAAATTATTGGTTCCAATTTTTTTACTGATAATACCTATGCGTAGTGGTATTACTATGTAACACACACTCTGCACTGTAGGTTTTGCTCTGTTACAGCTCTAGGATTGGAAATAATCAAGAAAATAATCTGTTTATTATCAATCAGTGAGTACCAATAAAATTACCCTCCAGCAGGGTATGTTCTGTCAGGGAACACTGGAGGCGTCAGTAGTGCTTATTTATCGTACGCACCACAGTTCTGTTCATCGGGATTTGGAAGATTCATTAGAAACATGAGGACAGTTTTATGTTTGGCTCCTTGGCAAGAACTCGAGTGTTTAACCTTAAGTTTTTAACTATATTAACTAAAGTATCTGCAAACTCTGTAATATGACAGCTTGCCCTCATTTAACTCATCAGTAAGTATGCAGTAGCCTTTCCTACACGTGCTGCATCGTGGATCTGGTGCATTTGTGTGGTTCTCCTGAACAAAAAGCCAGCACAGTCGCTGTGAGCAATCGGGCTGCTTCCCTGCAGTTTCCTCTTTGAAGGGAAAACTGTGGACTGGACACCCCACTGCAGCAGGCGTGTCCTCTCGTGATGTTTGTGCTTGTGTGGTAGTGAGGGGAGCAGACTTCTACGAAAGCCACGATCATTTCCTCCTTGTACATACGCTTACTCCTTTTGTATGATTTCTTATTCCCAATTCCTAGTCAGATCTTCTAATGGTAAAAATGGGATGTTTTTCTCTCTGTTCTAGTTTCCTACTCAACCTTCCCGATCAAGAGTGTTCTGACAAACTTAAACCCATCTCTACTTTTAAATCTGTAATACGTGAAACTACAACTTTAATAACATGTTATTTAATGTCCGTGGCACAGGCCACCTCCATTAACCTGAACCAGGTACCCGAAACTTCATAGTAAGTAGGCTGCCCTGGGACTTGAGCATTTAGAAGAGCAGGTGTCGAAACGACTGCAGACTGGCGGGCAAAGCCGATTCCAGGGTATGTCTTGGCACACTGGAAACCCAGTCTAGACTATTTCAGGAAGGCACTGAATGTGATCAGAAGTGACATTAAGAGTCATCAAAGAGGTGTATTGTTAAATGTGTGTTCTGTTTACAGAGATAATAGTTTAATGTTTTAGGATGGTTTTCATTAAGTTTGCTGTCTTTTTAGCATTCTTGTTTATTAAAAATAAAGGCAGGTAAAATTAACCAGGACACAGCTTCCTCCTAATCCACTAATTTGCCCTTTTTGTTAGGGGAGGGAAGGGCTATTCCCTAATATTACATTGTAGGTTTAAAAAAAAAATTGCACTGGTATCAATAGTTGATAAAGAAAAGGTAAATTTAATATTTCATGAGAAATGGTCTAGTGCAGGAATCTTAATATGTGTCTACAGATACCAGTGTAAAGAGAATTAAGATAAACATCCTCGTTTGTTATGTGTGAATTAAAGACCTTGATGAAACATGGAGCTAATCTCCAAAGACAAGGATTTGACCTTTGTGTAGGTGCATGTCTTACAGCAAAAGGATATTATGTCCATCATTGTTTACAAGGATAAAGAATGACATATTGAACACCTCCACAAATGCATGTTGTAATCTGAGTTACTGTTGCCCTTTTATGTCTAAGTCACCCTTGGTATTTTAGGCTCCCTGGAAACAATTTTGCAGTATAATTATACAGCTTTGCATGCGAAAGTCAGTATTTTACCTTAATGAAAGCAAATCCTTGGTAGACCAGGGAAGGAAAAGAAATGTTGGCCTAGTTCAGTGACTTTCCAGCCTCGTAACTCAACACTCTTTTATGCATATTACACTCTTTTCTATGGTAAACTTTCTGATTCCAAAGGTAACAGCCTTCACTGAATACTTATTTAAAGAAGTGATATAAACTTTTTCACTGTAGTTTTATCTTATGCTGTGTAAAAAATAGGGCACAAAGGTAGTAAGTAAATATAGAAATTAGCACCGAAGTAATAGGTTTGATCCCCTCTATTTGCTTTGGTATCATTTCTCAAACATAAAAAAAGGCTTTGAATCTTGGGATCTCTTCTGACTCACGTGGAGAGTTCCAAAATGCAGTGAATTACTTGAGTGGCCTACTGCGTGGCCACAAGCAGTACTAGCTGCCTGAAGGTTAGGTTTCGGTTCATCTCAACTGGGCTCCAGAACCAAAGGGCTTCTGAGCAGCTAACATACGAGCCTTCAGTCAGTCCGTGTACTTGACTCAGTAGAAAAGGGACTAGCCTTCATTCCAAGGCCTGATTATTGAACATTTGGCTCTTTTCCTGTTTTTGTCCTCGGCAGACAGTAGTGAGAAGTGGTAAATAATAGACTGGACATCATGAAAGAAACCTGAAAAACGTGAAAGTGAACAGAACACAGAATAAGTACATGAAAAGAGTCGAGCTGCTTAGTGTAGATGTTAAGGAGCCCTTACCCCTAGGGGGATATGTTGGCCCTGAGCACATCACAGTATCACAGCAACTGAAAACAGGATAATTCGGTATAGGCTTGTAAGATACAAAGTTTATACAGAAAGTTCTCAGTTGACATTGCTGATAGATTCTGTGACTCCGCAAATGACGTGTGACAAGCAATTTTATGGTAGGCCGATACAAAAAGAGTTAGGTTCCTACAGTGTCTCTTCAGCGCTGTAACGAAACTCCTTGCTGTGTTGCAAAGCTGAATCATGTCTGAACCAAAACTTACACCTGAAATTTCTATCCATGGACTTTCTCATCCATTTGTTTTTATAGTACAATTTCAGGCAGCCTACTTAGGAAAGCCTCGTAAAAGCCTTTGCAAGGTATTTCCCAAGTCCTATTTCAGGCCACTGTCCTTACTACCTGGCTAGTAAAATGAAAGCTTTCCATTGTTACACTGTGTTACTCCCCAGATTTCTAGTATTTGCATTTCTGTTTATAGACAGAAGTTGCTCTGATCTTTGCCCTTTGCTCTGCTCTGTTTTGCTGTACATTTGTTTAACGCAGAGTTTACTAGCTTTGGAACTGGAGCATATAAAAATCCGAATCTTGCAGGTTATCTTTCTTATTCTCTGATCACCTGCAAAATGAGGACAGCGTGTATACATAGGATTGACAGAACTGAGATGTAAATAACTAATACTGTCTTTTCCACTTTTTACTTCCTTACCTATTGCTTTTACTTAAAGGAGATTGAATTTCCCTGTCTGGAACTCAGAGAAATCAGTTATCAAATAACATACCCAAGTATCAAAGTAGATTGTAATCCATTTTTGTATTTGTAATAATAAGCAGAGAAAACAACTCATGGCAGACTATTTTATTTAAAGCAAGTCTTGCTTAGCTTAATGTCCCAAGTCTCAGTGACATGAAAAAGGCAAATAGTACACAATTAGAGATGCTGTGATGTTTCCTACATCACTCGAGGAGCTGAGACTGTTTTGTGAAGCCTTCACTAGTTAGAAGTTGAGTCCCTGCTATGTGACAACCAACCACCTCGCCTCTTCATACATCTGCTATGAGCCTGACTCCCTGTTGTGTTTAGTGTGTTTCCTCTGTATCAAGCGGGTCTCTCAGATGTCGTTTGGGGCAGTCATCGGAGTGCTCGGGAGTTACTTAGAGTGGAGATACTACTGTGGCCTCGCCCCAAGACCTACTGAACCAAAACCTGTAGTGATGAGGCCCAAGAAACTGTCATGATCTGGTGATTCCAGGAGCAGGCAGGTGGAGATGCGGTTGCTCAGCCCCTGATCTGACTCCTCTTTCCTCAGCCTTAATGTCCAGTCCGTCAGCAACGTCACTGCCTTCGCCCGGTGGAAGCTGTGCTGGATCAGGGCCACAGTCAACTGGCCTTCCCATCAACTCTAGCCTCAAACTATTTTCCACCAGCTGCAAAATGCAGTGTTCTTAAAATATAAGTCACAAAGGTTAAGACAATTAGACCATCTTTAAAAGTAACTGCAACGGATTGAAACAAAAACGCTATTAAAATTTATTCATACTGGTACTATAACAAAACCCCCTCAAAACCACCATGGTTACCTTGGAGGATGCTAGGGAGCCAATTCCTTATTTTGCATACTTGTGAGTGAAGGGAAAGAATCAAACATTTATCCTGTCATACAGAAGTGTAACCTCAGGATAGCCAAAGTATTGAATGAAGTATGCAGGAATATTCCAGCTAATAAGAGTATCACCATTTTGAAATCCCTAATGAAATAATGTATCTAGGTAATGATCATCAGTAAGTTAATATAAGAAGGTAACCAGTGATTTGGAAGTAGCTAACACCACTATAAAGTACTGCCAGAACCACACACCTTAATATAATACAGGGAAACATGGCAAAATGCAGAATGTGGTTTCCATAAATAAATTGCAAGGAGACAACAACAAACAAAAAGGGAGGGTAAGGAAACAGAAGATTCCACCAGAGATGTATCAGCCAGCTGTACTGTATGGCCTTACTTGGATCCTGATAAGAACAAAGTGGAAATAAAAAATAATGCAGACATTTGAAGTTTTTTGGTGTGATGATCCTCCGGAGTTCTTACATCTTAAAGGTATATATGGAAATATTTCATATGAAATTTCTTATATGAGATTTGCTTCCGAATAGTGTGGTGTGTTGGCCTGGGGGGGCGGACTTGGTGGAGATACAGATGAAACGACCATTGAAGCTGGGTGATGGGGGTGGTTATACTCTTTCACTTACTTTGTACCTACCCTTTCTCTTTAATAAAAAAATTAGATACAAATTACACAAATGAAACTTTAATCAATTGCTACTGAATTCAGAATAAAATCCAAAGCCCATACCTGGGCCTACGAAGCCACTTTCTACCTCTCCATCCTGCCTTAGAATCCTGTTCTTCCACCAAGTCCTTGCCTGCTCCACGCCTTTGCTCACAGCTCCTTTCTCAGGGAATATTCTCCCCTCCTCTCTGGTTATCTCAGCGCATTTCTTTCTAGCTTAATCAGTATCTTATAGATCTTTCCTGACCACTCTAAGGTTGGGTCTTGTATTAATGTCAATTTGTAATTATATTTGTTAGTTTCTCTTTTGGTCTGTTTCCTACTAGAATATAAGGAACTGTATCTTGTCAGTCCTGTATTTTTAATGCCTGTCACATGTGTGATATGGTAGGTAGTTAATAAATGCTTGTTGAGTGAATTATTCTGTTGTCTGTCTTAAATGTGTATGTCAGCTCAAATTGTGTTTGATGTGAAACTAAAGTGACTGAATAAATACTTTGGTAGATGTTATTTCTGGAATAAGCTCAAGTATTTCCTTGAAACCAGACAATTATCTTTGACCACTGGGACTGTGAAAGTAATACAGAACTTTGAAATTATATTGTCCAGAAATAAAGGCTCATTTGCAAGTTACACTGTAATGAAATGAATTTCCATTACCCGTATTTCTCTATGCTTTGGATTCTCACTGGAAGAGTTCAGCTCATACCCCCCAATGTAGAGATCCTTGGAGTATCTCGAGAGGACTTCGGAGCACAGCACCTGGCACACGGAGGCACTTAAGTCTTTGGTAGTGCTTTATGGTACTTGAAGATCATAGCCACTCGATTCTCCACCAGTTCAAATAATTGTAGCTTATTTTTCCTTCAGAAATAATTTTTTACAATTTTAGGTAAATCCACAGGTTCTTCTTGAGCTCTTGTGGTAGACAGCCTCCAAGGTGGTCTCCAATCATCCCAGCCTATAGAATTCCATACCCCCGTGTCTTCATCCACACCCATACTGAACAGGGCTGACCTGTGTAACCAGCAGGGTATCGTGGAAATAAAGGAGGGTGATCTTAAGGTTAGGTCATAAAAGCCACTGCAAGTTTCTGCCCAATTAAACCTCTAAAGTTTCTTCCCTTTAAAGTTTATTCTGGTAATGGTCATCTCTCCTGTTTTCTTCAATGGAATGATTTCTGAATACTGTACTCACTTTAGTTTTAAAAGGTAATTCTGCATCCTACCCACCCTCCCCTAACTTGCCATCTTTGCAACCTAGAATCATCTGTACATTTAATAAATATGCGTTAGGTTTCTATCATTTTAAGTCGTGGATAAAAACACTAGGAGACATTAGGGTCCAGTATTGCTTCTATCAGTCCTGAAATATTAGTGCATATATTCAGACTGACAATGAACCCATGACGACTTTAAGGTTACAACGTGCTAAATCTGAATACCCATTTCCTATGGAGATGCAATGTGGGTGGCAGATTAACTTGACCTCACTTTCATCTATCAGATCCATCCACCAGTGGAGAACTCTAGATTTAATTATATTTGGCTATCTGGAAACCAATTTTCAAAGTATATATTCCAGTATCAAGTTTCATACTGGTTTTAAAAACACAGATTCTACAAATTATGAAAAGTTCCCCAATTCATTTTTTTTCAAGGGGAGTAAGAATCTTTAATTATATTAGACAACCAAACTATGGCAATAAGTCTTTATTTTTCATACAAGGTGCCACTGCTGCTGTGAGAGACAGAACTGAACAAAAGCACTTTAGCATTGCTGCCTCACTGTACATAGAAAACGGACATCTTCAGACACTAAGGCTAGGGAAGAAGATGGGTTAATGGCATTTGTTGATGTGCTTATGAATCACGCAGCAGTGTTCCAGGCTGTCTTCACGTGAAGGCAGAGGGGCAATCACTCAGGCAGCCCTGGATAACTCTAAGCGAAGGAGCAACAGCAAGGCGGACAGATGCCGTGTCCCAACCTGAAGGGAGACTGGTTTGATGCCAGGCTCAGCGCATTTTAAGAGCTGATAGAGCCATTTTAATAGTTTAAGATTGAGTTTCCCCTACCACATAAGTTGGCATTCAGCCTGAGAATTTCTGAATCATCAGCTGAGTAAACCTGGGGTTAAAAACAGGCCTCTGTCTGTGTAACAGAATTGCTACTTCATAACTTCCGCCCAGTTCTCACCTGTTGTCCTACAAAAACCCCTTATCTGATGAATTTTAGTGAAAGCCTCTAGCAACTGTAACAGACCCAGCTCTAGACACTAAGTATCAGAAAAAAGTGCCTGTGAAGTGGATGTGTCCATGGAGAAGTGGCAGTGTTTCTACTGGAGGTAAGTGTCGAGTTTCCTCTTGATGTTGTCAAAGGCATCTGCTCCCATGTAATCGGCCTGGCCCTGTTCCCACCTCTCCTTCCGTTCTTCCGAGGATACAAAAGGCTGTGCCATAGCCGGGGTCTCCCCCAGGGACAGATGTGATATGGCTCCGGAGACATCTTCCTAGAAAGGAGAGCACAATCAGAGATTCCTTGAGAGCTGAAAAGCAGACTGTTTTAGAGAACGCAATAAAGTGAATGTGAGAAAAGCCAGGATGAATTATCATGCAAAGTAGCAAAAACAAAAGTATTACATGAAAAAAACAAAAAAGGACACAGAAATACACAGGTCATGAGATTTTTTTCCTAACGAAATGAATACTTCTTGACTCAGTGAAAACATTGGGAGACAAAGTAATTAGGGTTAATGTTTAAGTTCTGCATACCTTTCTACAGAAGCCACAAGAGAAAGCCAGTGTATAGACCAAGTCTGAAAGCTGTAAACAGTTCATTAGAAAGTGTAAGACGGATGGACAAGGGAACACAGTCTCATGATAAATTCTCGATCTGTGTGGGCTCAGAAAGGTTGAGAACTTAAACAAAATGATACCTTAGAGGCTAGGCTTCAGAAAGAACCTAAAAGAGCCGCACCACATAAGTTGTACATCATAAAAGTGAGAGCTAAATGGTCGAGACCATGCACCAAACTCATCTGCCTGTTCAAGCTTATTACCAGGTAGCATCCATCTATTCTTGTAGCTTCTGTTCATTTAATTAGCTTAGTTTTGAACAACTGTTTCAATTCCCATCTTCACCTTTCTTGGTTCATAATTCTCAGTCGTTGGGTTGTGGAAGGAACAAAGTAAATGCAGGAAATGGAGCAAACCAACTCTACATTAGATTCTCATTACAGACAGACATGCAGTTAACTTTAGCTGTACCATAAAGGAATATCAAAGCTACCCTTCAAATAGCTAGGGTGAGAAGGTACTGGAAATCTTAGCAGAGAAAAAGGAAGCAGATGAATACATATAGGTACTGCTTTTAACAGAAAATGGCAGAACAAAGTTTCTGATTGCCTGTTTATCTGCATGTATAAGTGTATATGGATGCATTTAAATACACTGGAACTCCAAGGCGCTCGGGTGGATTCCATGGGATTGTATTATAGCTGAGGCAACATAAGTCCCTCCCTTGGATTAGCCCTGCCTTTGCCTCCCACTTGCAGCAGGAATGATGTAGGGAGGCTCTACCAGAGGCCTCTGGCTCACCATATTTTTCACAAGGATCAGTCTCTCAGGCCGGGATTCGAGTCCCATTTCTGCTACTGCCTAGTCTGTTACATAATTAAGAGAAGTTATGTAACTTCTTTATGCCTCAGTTTTAATATCTAAAAAGGGGATATTAATAATACTTACTTGATAGGCTAGTTTAAGCATTAAATAAAAATAGCTTTTCTTGAGCATTTACTGTGTGCCAGGCAATGTTCCAAGTACTGTACAAGTGTTATTTCATGCTCCATACAAAGCAATTAAGAGTAAGAATGTGAGTTGTTTTTCCCTTTCTCCTTTTCACATTTTGTTACAAGTGCTAATAAGTGAAATGGCTAAAATGTATACCAGAGCAAAGAGAAGTATCTCTTACATAACCTTACAGTCTCTTACAGAAAGGCAATGAACTGATCAGTTAGACTTGATTATAGTATACCCACTGAGCTCTATTCTTTATAGCTTAATATATAACATAAAGTTTTAATTTTTAAAAATTTTTTTACTGAATTTATTGGGGTGACATTAGTTAATAAAATTATACAGGTGTACAATTCTATAATACATTTTTTGTATATTGTATTGTGTGTTCACCACCCCAAGTCAAGTCTCCATCACCATTTATCCCCTTTACCCTCTCCTCCCTCCCAAGTTTATCGTTTTCCAATTCTTCCCAAAGAACAAACCTGAGAGGAAGACCTTTCACGTCATAAAAGATGCTCAGCACTTTGTTACTGTCAATATTAATATGGATCTTCCTCTTACAAGATTTCTTTTTCAAGATCCTGTATAACCATATAGGAGTAGACATGGCAAATCAAAATAGTCCTGGGAAAGTATTTGTTTATGTTTGTGTAATATTCACTGAAAATACACTCTTCTGAGCAGATAGCAAAAACAAAATAGCTATGTTTAAATGTAGGCAGTTTCTAAAATGAAACGTAGCATTCACTGCTTCAGGAATAACTGCAGGACAGTGGGCTAAAAGCTTACAGTGACAATATATGGGTCTATTGTAAAATCTCTAACCCTTGCTTATGCTCTCAGATTGGAGGAAATTTGCCACAAACTACTTCTGCGTTAGTCTTCGCTAGTAACATCTCCCCCTTCTAAGATGGACAGTTTTCTATCCGCACAATCTTTTTGCTTAAAATGCCACCAACTACTCCATGTCTATTAGTATACAAGCTTTAAAAAATTCAGCACTGAAGGGCCTAAAAGGAAAAGCAGAACCTACCACACTGAGGTGTGAGTGGGTGTCTGAGACGAGGCCAAACTGCTGCAGCAGAGGGGAAACGCTGGTGGTGAAGATGTCCCACCATAGGCTGAGGAACTCTGGGTGAGCCATGGTGGGATCATGGGGCTCACTTTTAACACTTTTTGTTTTAGGATCATAGGTATAATTCCACGGTTTGATTCGTCCCAGGAAATGCACAACTTTGGCATTTGCACCAAACCTGCCAAATGAACACAAGTTGACATGGTTAGTGGATTCTGGGCCCTAACAAAGCGATAAGCAGCATTGTGTCCTACAGACTCAACAGTGCCGCTCCCCTCCTATAGTAGTAGTTGGAAGGAAACTGAGTTCCCTGAAAAGTGCTTAGACATGCTTTTTAATTATTCAACTGCATGTTAAATATACACAAAAATTCAAAAGTATCAGTGGATCAGTGCAACAACCAAAACACCAATTCACTGTGCATACAGGTCCAACCGTTTAGAAAACCCATGATGTTAAGTACTCAAGTTGCAAATGCTCACGCTCTACAACCCGGAAGCTCAGCTCCTGGACGTGCACCCTAAAGACACTCTCACAGATGTGTAACAGGAGACATAGTGGAAATATTCACAGCAGCCGTGTTGTGGGAAACAACTCAATGACCATATGTTAGGTGAGACTATTGTTGAGCAAGTGATCACTCCTTTTCCCAGCCTCCATGGGGAGTGCATTTCCTGCCTCACTGATGTTGGGCACGCTCATATGACCTGCTCTGGCTAACTGGATGTGGGCAGAAGTGAGGGAACCTTAAAAAGCTGTTTTTGTTCACCCTCTTGGAGAAGCTGCAACTCCAGCAGAGAATGTGACCCCCGGCAGCCTGCTGGTTCCGGAAGAACGAGAGACATGGAGCAGACGTGGACCAAACCCATGGCCTGGCTGCAAACCTGGCTGAGGGGATCAGAGCTGTCCAGGCCTATCCACCAACATGAACAGAAACGGGTGCTTACTGTGGACTGTCACTGAGATTTTATGCTGATTTATCCATTCTATTTTTTTTTTCATTCAAAAAATATTTACTGAGTATCAGTTCTTTAAGTATTCCCACTTTATAACTACTCTTTCAATTTTTCAGGTTTCCATCATTTTTTTTTTCTAGAAACAGACCCACATTCTCAGCTGGCTGAAAGGGGAGGACTGAGAGGGGAAGGCTCATACATACCTGCATTTCCCTTTTTCTCTCTGGCCAAAAAATTAGCCAAAGATATTTCTTTCATGCAACTTCCAAAGCAAGTATCACTCCTTCACTTTAAACCTTAAGTGGCTCTCTGTGCCTATCCTATGTAATAAAGTCCAACTTACATGACCTGGTCCTTCACATTCTATTTTTTTTAAAGGATAACTTCTGGTTTATTCATATCATGGAATACAATATGGTAAGGAAAATGAATTTTTTTAAATATGCTGAAAAAAAAATTCAAATAGGAATACAAATGAATCCACTTACATAAGGGCACAACAACAAAAAAGTTGAGAGTAGAAGGCGGTAATCAATATAAATTTCATGATACTGGTTCTCTGGCAGAGAGGGAAGCTGTGATGGGAAAGGGGCAAAAAGGAGCTTCTAGGGTTCTGGTTGTGTTCCATTCTTAAGTTGGGTGGTGGGTATTTTAAAAAATGGCACTTTTTTTTGTATATTCTTTGATATACATACTATATTTCACAATAAGAATTAAGAGTGGTCCTAGTCTGGCTTGGAGGAAACCTATGAATCTAAAAACCAAATAATGACGAAGGCGAATACAACAGGTGCTGGAACAGGGAGAGTGAGGACTCCAGGAATTAGGGGCAGGAGGTTACTGAAGGCTCAGTGCACGGGGGCAGAGGTGCTAAGGTGGATGTGATCTGAAGTCTGCACAACTTTACAATAGGAGCTGGGGGGTTACACAGGGAATTCTAGTGAGAGGTGGCAGCTATGAGATAGGTGTACATGCCTGACCAAATGTCCTCCAGCTAGAGCCAAGGAGGAAGCTTTGATGGCGAAAGGTCCCTGCTGAGTGCTGGGATTGTGTGTTAGATTTTAGTGGATTTATTCTATAGGCAACCAAAGGATCTGATCATAACATACAGATCAAAACAATGCAAACTCTGTCTATGTAACCTTTCCTATCTCCTAAAGTTTATTTTTTTAATGTTGGAGACCTGTTATATAGCTGTCATTATCTGAGAGTTTACTATGTTTGGGGCCCAAATTATGTAAGGAAATGACTGTGAATAACATTCCTGCAGGTAGATTTTACGGAAGTGTTAATGGAGGCTCCTAGCAGTGAGCTGCCCAGAGCCAGACAGCTATTAAGTGGCAGAGATGGCATGTGGCACAGTTCTGTCTCTCTTAAGCCTGAACTCTCCCCATCCTACCATGCTGCTGCTCCAAACGCTGCAATAAAAAGAGCCTGTTGTCAGTTTCCTCCCGTGCACTTCTGAAAATGAAGTGGACACCTGACACCCCCAAGCAAGCTCTTTATATACACAAGAGTATTTTACACACACACGCTCACTCACACTCACACATGTACTTGCAATTTTGTTTTTAAACGGACAAATAATAACGTTCAAATCAGGTCTGTGTAAGGCACTAAGCTCCATGCGTGGTCCCAAGAGGCTTTTGTACAAACAGGGAGCTGAATCATCGACAAAATAATAAACGGCAGCACAAGTGGGGCAACAAGGCAGGGCCACCAGGGCCATGCTGACATTAGGGCAGTGGCGGGCATTTCCAGAAGCGGCTTCCTGCAGAAGCAGGAGGACCAGGCCAGGGAAGGTAGGCAGGATTACGACAACTGCCTTCACCAAATGTCCAATGACGATGGGGAACCCATCCCAGCAATACTAACCCTTAGGCTGAAACCAGACAATGCACAGGTGAAAGCAAGGTGCTCCCTCACCTTGGACATGCACTCTTCCTGACTCAAGGTCTCGCCTGGAATGAGAGCACTTGTCTGCTCCTCCTGTCTTAACGGACCTGGAAGTCTACACCCACGATTTGCTCAGACCCAACATATATGCAGCCAGGACATGAGAGGTAGAAACACCCACTAAATTAAAACATGAATGTAGAATAAACTCTATTCCTTTCTAATCTGCTCTCCTTGACACTTCACAAATAATTAAGCAGTAGTACAGTAAAAGCTAGCATACAGGGCAGGCAAAAGGAGGCTTACAGTTGTTCATATGGACCATAACACAATAATTAATAATAAAAGAATAAACTGTGTTTTGCTTCTCACCACTGTACACCCACTTCCACTCGCCTGTAGACTGAGCACGTGTGCCAGGCGCTGTTAACATTTGCATGACTGGCCTCACATAATCTCCCCAACAGCTCTGCGGAAACTGGAGCTTGAAGTAACTTGTCTAGGATCACACGGCTGGGAGTGACAGAGCTGGAGTCCACTCAGGCCGTCTGGCTCCAAAGCCAAGGCTCTTAACCACAACGAGGCTGCTATTACAAGGCACTCCCAGAATTATAAGGACATGGAAGGTGACTTTGTTACTCCATGGATTAACTCCCTACCTACCGATGGTCAATCTGAAAGATGGAAAAAGTACGCCTAATGAATTCTGAAAATATCCCAAATATAGTCACTGGACAGAGCAACAGAACATAACCAACAGGAAAGAAAGCTACAAAGGAACCAAGTTAGCACTGTCTGAAGGAAGACTGTTCTCAAAGTTTAGAGGAAGGGGAAGGAACAAGAACAAGGAATGGACGGTGCTTCCCTAAGTGCACGGTGCAGGGCAAGGTCTCGGGAGGCGCCTCTGCAGCACCTCACTCCGTGAACTGGCCTTCAGAACTCATGCAGAGGAAGCACCTGGTCCAAGCCCCCGAGATGCCACTGCGATGCTGCAAACCCTACACAGTGAGGCTGCTCAGTCTCTGCTGGGGGCAGGACTGCTCACCTAGGCCTCAGGCTCCGTCTGCACCCCCAGGGGCTCAGGGACTTCTGCAGCCTCCCTGAACACCAGCTGCATGCTGGTTAGACACCTTCTCATGTGGCCCATCATCCCCTGCATGTCAACAGGAACGCCATTTCGGGACAGTTCACATCCTGCATTTTACTGTGGCTCAGGCCTGGGTTCCACCTTCATGAATCCATGGTCTTCAGCATCACTTTAATGCTAAATCAGTGTTGCCCTCTGGGGCCCAAGGGAGGACCCTCCTTTCTCAAAATTACCTTCTTTACCCATTCTACCCCAACAATGTAAAAAACTGTATACACTGGACAGTCCTTTCACAGACAGGGCAGTCCTGGTTTTAAGAAAGTTCTTAATAAGCCTGTTTGACATAGAAACTAAGGCCTTAATGGCGGAACTGCCCTTCCCGAGCACAGGTGAGGAATTCGCTGGCTGCTAGCATGATAGGGGAAGAAGAGGGCTGAGCAGGAGTTGGAAGGCTGCACAGTGTGAGGTACCCTCCCAGCAGCTGCCCAGACTTCAGCAACAAAACGAATCACAAAATACATGACATGAGTAGGCTTTCTGAAAAACTGATTGGGGGTCAGGGAATTTGGGGTCAGGAAATTGAGGTACAGACCAGAAAGCAATCATGAGGACCCAGGGGTGTGACTGCAGAGATGCGTGAGAAGAAGGTGCTGGGACACATAGCAACCATGGGCCAGCCTCGGGTGCTTCTGGTTTGGCCTGTGTCAGCTCTATTTCTTGGCAGTAAGAGTTGGGATCTCTTTTTTGAGGAATGGAGCCATCACTGCCACACACCAAACAGATCTCTGGAAATGAATAGGGGTGGGAAGAAACTGAGCTTTGGAGCAAGGACTCTGGAAAGGGCCTGGGTGAATCACTGAACATGGGAGGTTTAGGCCAGCCCACAAGGGCCTTTTGAGGGTGAGAGTGGGTAAGGGTGAGAAGTGAGGCAGCTGCTAAATGGGAAACAAGGCTCAAGAAGGTGGGAGGGGAGCTGAGACAGACTCTGAGGTTTTGCATAAGGCAGTCACCGCTGGAGATTCCTTGAAACATAGGGGGACTGACAGGCCTGACACTGGCTACCTTATATGAAGAGTGTGAGTGACACAGTTAGAACTGCGTAACTATGTACTAACTGCATAAACAGAACAGTGTTTACACAGCAAAGGCTCTCTTAGCTTTCATAATAAAACACTTTGTTTGCAAACATGATGAGCAAAAGGTATCAAACGCTGATTTTGAACCTAGAGGTTTAATGAA